CACACACACACACACACACACACACTTTACAGCAGAGATTTTCTCTCGTGTACCGCCACTCGTCACCGGAGGGCGCTGTCGCGAGGAAGGGTACGCCACTTAAAACACGAAGAAGAAGACCTCCGCCTGCCTGTATCCAAGGAGACCACAGAGCCGACACTCCAGCTCAGTGTCGAGAGGTGAGTTAAACACGATTTCATGGAAACACCGACGTGACAACACGATGCGATACAAACACGGTTTAACGCGGAGCTCGCTCGTCATCAAACGTTGACCTGACGCCGCGTCCGACGTCTGGAAGGCACCGGGGGCTTTAACGGCAGCTAACGTGCTAATGCTAACAGGAGCGTTATGTGGATGTGAATCACACGAACCCTGGTGGAATAAGATTAGAAACCGACGAAGGCAACACGGCTGCAGACACTGTGGTGTTCGCAAAGAGACAGACACATGTCCCCGCCGAGGACTGCAGCTGTTTTCTGTTTTTACTGCGCAGCTCACAGCGAACATGAAGCTGTCCAATAGGGATGAAACCAAGACATCATGTTTAGCTACAGGCAGATGACAACAAGAGTTCAACAACACCACGTTACTTCGGGACATTCACACGCCTCTACGACGTATTCAACAAGTATTACTCTGAAAATATCACTGTTTGTGCTCAAGCTGCTGACAAACTACAGGATATTTACATGTAAGAGCAAATATATCGAGCAGACAAAGTATGCCCTCAATGATTACACACGTGATTCAACACCTCACAAACAATGTCAACAGCAGAATGAGTTTCACAAAGATGTGAGAGAGACGAGGGCTGAAACTGATGATGATTATTTCCATCATTGATTAAGCTGCAGATTCTTTTTCAGATTGATTGTCTTGCTTGTAGAATGATCAAAAAAATGGTGATTTGTCTCTTTCAGGCAAAGAACATCGAGATGTCGTTTTTATTTGACTGGATCTACAGGGGGTTTAGTAGCGTTTTACAGTTCCTGGGTAAGTTCAAATTAGAATCCCAAACTCAAGAAATGCAGCAATACAACCAGTTCACAATGAGAAGTTATCATCATGTGAGCTGAAAGAAATGTTCACAAACTGACTCTACAATCTTTATATTTGCTGGTTTACTATGTTGATGAGCCACAGATGTCTGGTCAGGATACTTTGAATGTTTTCTAGAATACTGGATGAATCTTTCCACATTAGCAGTGTTTAAATGTTGCACACGGTCCAGGCAGTGTTAGTCATGAAGTAGTAGTTAGACTGCAAAGTCATTTATAGTCATGAATTCCTTCTGTAATTTATTTTTTGGTTTCTAGGTCTGTACAAGAAGAGTGGGAAGCTGGTGTTTCTGGGCCTGGACAACGCTGGTAAAACAACACTGCTGCACATGTTGAAAGATGACCGACTCGGTCAACACGTACCGACACTGCATCCGAGTAAGAGAAATTTCTACTGTAGATTGTAGTATATCATATTTGGGTGGTGTGTTTGCTGAGTTTGTCCTGTGTTGGATAGGTTTCTAGTTGATATTACACCACCTCATAGTATAGTACAGTTCATCTTGTATCATTTTGTTCTCTTCTGAAAATAGAGTCCATTTAATGTAACTGTTTTTAAAGAGATGTACTTTTGGTGCATTAGTGACAACACCCCCACCACAAAACAATCTGCTGAGATCCTGAGGAACAGGCGTTTCCTTCTTTGTACCTTAAGATCTTGAGCCATTGTTGCCCCAGCAGTTCAGCCCTTTGCTAGTTTTCACATGTAATTGATTGTGCTTACTCTTGTGACAATATTGTGTTGCTCAAACTATCACCAGCATAAAATGCAATTCTCTTTCCCCCAAAGCTTCTGAGGAGCTGACCATCGGTGGGATGACGTTTACCACGTTTGATCTGGGAGGACACGTGCAAGGTCTGATCTTCATTTCTCTGACACTCATAAAAGAAAAACAGTTATCACGGATTTTGTCACTACATCTGTTGTCTGTGAAAGCGATTTAAATGTGTTCGATATTCTCTACCACTAGGTGTCACACTAACAGCATCCTCCACGACCACAGCAGTCGCTTCATCAGCCACAACCCACTATACTTATTTTTTCATATACATTTACAGTTCTTGTTGCTGCCACTTGGAATCAACTAAGATGCAGCTACTAAACCTAAATATCAAAGACAAGAGAAATGTAAAGGCAGGATGTGCTGCTGAAGACACATGATAAAAAGAGTACTAACACACAAGAGTGTAAAAAAAAAGGGATGTTTTTTTTAGGAATAATAATCAGAGTGTTTTAAATCTCATGGTAAAACTGTATTCACATGAATAGTAAATCCACTTTTATGTCGCCAAGTTAAAATGAAGTCTCATAGAAGTGCTTTCACTTACAATATGAGCTATTCTAGTTGGATATAATGAGGCTATTAAACATTTGAGCAGATTCAATTATGGGGGCAGATGCAGAAATGGTTTTTCACTTTCATTTACTTTGTGAGATTTTCCCAGGAAATAATTTATAGATCTTTGAGGAAAGAATGAGTTTTGTTTCAGGAGCTAATATCTGTGTTTGTGTGCGATGGTGTGGGCTCACTGAGTGACATTCATAATTCCCAACACATTCATTGTACGACTATATTCACAGACACAATAAGACATCATTGATTTTTCCCCAGTTTCTATTTTAACAAGCTGAGAGTGTCATTCACTGTCGCTGCTGATGAGTCACCGTTTCTCCTACAGCACGGAGAGTGTGGAAGAACTACCTGCCTGCTATAAACGGAGTCGTCTTTCTCGTAGACTGCGCGGACCACGACAGACTCCAAGAATCCAAGACCGAACTCGACGTAAGATTAACTGTTGCCGTCGCGCAGCACTGACTGTTGTCTGTTAACGCTGGTTTTATGATGATTACGCTGCTCTTCTGCTTCCAGGCTCTGCTAGCGGATGAAACCATCTCCAATGTACCAGTGTTGGTGTTGGGTAATAAAATCGACCGCCCGGAGGCCATCAGCGAAGGAGGACTTCGAGGAGCTTTTGCTCTGGATGGTCAAGTCACAGGAAAGGTCGGCCCCTTATCTTTAAATTGTCACAGATGAAGTGATCTCTGAATGTGTGTGGGCTGATGTCCTGGTGTCGTCCTCATTTGTCTTTGTCACCAACAGGGAAACGCGTCTTTGAAGGAGCTGAACATTCGACCGCTGGAGATTTTCATGTGCAGCGTGTTAAAGAAACAAGGCTACGGCGAGGGTTTCCGATGGTTATCACAGTACATGGACTGACGTGCACGACTGAGGAGGGATTGTCTCGACACATTTTAACGACAAAGACTTTATCTCTTCGCCAACGTCGATCAAATCACATTATGAGCGAATTATTTTTCATTTCCTAAAGCATTTATTCAGGGTTTAAAGGTTTCTATGCAAACTTTTAAAAATGGTTCATGGTGAACTGTTAATGTGAGAGTCGTCCAACTGCATGACATGTTCATTCGATTACATCGTACCAGATTACAATACATGTGCAGCCATACGTTGTGCGAGAATGTAGATAAATAGACATCAGTGTTGCATTATTAATTATTTGACTGCTTGAGTTAGAATTCATTAACAAGCGAGTGATGAAGATTGATTTTAAAACAGTTTATTATACAAACAGCTCATTTTAGTTCATTTGATCCAGTGATTTGCAGCCACCGCCCTAAAAAAAAAAAGGCCAAAGATGTTTGCTAATGACTTGTATGTCAGCACGGAGAGATCCAATTCTCTGAAAAATAATGCAAATCCCCTTAAGAACCCAAAAGATGAAAAGACAAAGTGACATCCCACAAAGGCCGACACGATGAAGTAAACAGAGTCACGTTGAGCAGCCTGCTGATGAGTGTGCTGTGATTAATAAGTGGCTCACTCTCAGTGTCCCGGTGGAATTGGCTTGTTAATCTTACCTCCTACAGTTTCATTTCTCCCAAGTGAAGGCAGCTAAGTTGAGGTGTGGGCCGAGAGTCTTTATCATCTTTGACTTTGAGAGTTTCATACAGACATTCTATGACTTTCAGCAGCTGACGTTACTTGATTAAAGCTCGGAGGCAATAAATAAGAATGACCACCTGTCCTGTTAGAATGCATATACATAGTTCTGAGTCTGTTAATTAAAAATCTTTTCATCCTTTCAATAAGTATGAACTAGTTCTGCAATAATACACGGTGTCTCATATCTCTGCAGAGTGTTGGTTACAGTCGTACTTGAACTGACAATGGATTAAGATCCTATATGAAGCAGCAATATTTTAAACAAGAGCGTTAGTGTAATTTATTTTTTATTATTAAATCCTTTATTCCTGAGCCTGAGCAATATATGTAATGTAATGTAAATGTAATCAGCATGTAAGCTGTGAAAGGTTGAAATCCTGCAGGTAACGCACTTTTTGACTATCTAAGAAGGTATGAGAGTGCACTTCGCTAACCTGTAAATGAATATTCTGGATTCTTTAATATTTATGTTTTCCTTGAGTAAACATCCGTACAATGTTTACAATGATTTGTATGACTTTGTATCTTCATTATTAAAAAGCCGGAAGTAGATGAGGAAAAAAAAGTGTGTGATCATTGTTTAACCACCTGATGGTGGATGTTGCAAAGAAAACCCTGCAGACAACAAACTTGCTTCTCAGCCACGTTGCTCTGCCTCAAATGCCATGTCTGCATACTGCAGCCTTTTCCTCTCGTTCGCTTCATCAACATTATCCTCGCAGGATATAATGAAAATAATACGACTGATAATTAAAGGTGTTATGATGTTATTAATGATAGTAGCAGCAGTAAATAGCAAAGATCCATTCATTGCAGGATTTATCCTCAGTTTCCTGTTACAGTACTGTCTTCAGGTAGCTGTTAATCAGTGGCTCAGTATTTGGCAGCCAACCTGCTGTAATTTGTTCCTCCAGCATGAGGTGGCAGCTCGGCACCAAAATAACCTCAACAAACATCCATATCTCATCTGAGAGGAAAGTCTGGAGCTTCCAACCTCCTCATTTTTATTCCACCGTCGGCTCCGTGATCGTAGATGACGATGAAATCATTCTTGTTAACACCTGATTAAACACAATCACATGTAATTGCAGACCTGGCTGTAAAACCCTTCAGCAATCAGAGCTCCGCACACCAGGTGCAGGAGCCAAAGGTCACAAGGAAAAAAATATTCATATTCACTCACCCAGCTTATGCTTCATAAACAGATTACTCCACAGAACGTAGGATCAGTGAACACAAGGCTGGTTCTTTTATGCTGAAATTCTGTTTTTAGCTCACAAGCTACATTTTAAATATTGATCCTCGGTGGTGTAAAAGCTGCAGTAGTGATGCATTTCCTCTCCGGAGCAAAGTGAGGAGGCTTTATCTCACAGATTCTTTCAGTTTCCCCACCTCAGCTTAGCGTTTCCTTCTTTACAGAGGGAAATGGTGTGTGACTTAGTGGCAGAGCCGCCACGAAAACCTAATTCCTCCCCGGATGATAAATTTCGACCCTGAAACAGCGAGAAAAGATTCAAATCAACACACAAGCTTGGCTCCCGGTGCCTTTATTAGTAAAGTGCTCAGCCTAGAAGTACATTCTTTATGTTACTAACATGCAATACTAAAAACAACCAAACGTCTGGCCCATTGATAGCATGAATGAAGACATGGCAATGATATTCTCATAGAAAGAAAAAAAATACAATGTGAATTCAAGTATACACACAGAACTTCAAGTAATGCACACGTTTTTTTTTTTCCGAAGAAACACAAAATACAGATTTTCAAGTTGCAAATGAAACGTAATTGTGCCACATTCTTTGACATGAGGAAGCAGAGGACAGTGATCTGTGGTTTTCAATAAAAGTAATCCGACTGGAAATATAGGTCCTGTGTAGCTGTGTGTGTGTGTGTGTGTGTGTCCACTTAATTCTAGAACGCATCAACGATTTAAAAACTGCTATGAGCTGTGGTGCACCTTTATCATAAAGGTGGCTTGAAACCATGGTAACCTGAAGTCCTCGCAGCTCACCTCACAGATAAATGACACTGGATCTATGTACAGAATCCGTTCAGAAATACTCAACACGTTGCACTGAACTGATTTAAAGGAACATTTTGGAGAGCTGGGCTCATTTGCCTGTTTGCTGAGAGTTAGAGGAGAAGATTGACTTCACATGATCAGCTGACTTAAACCGACAATAAGCATTTTTTGGGGGGTGTACGGTGGCCATGAAGTGCAAACCCCAATGTAAAATAACAAAACACAAATTCAAATCACACAAAAAAATTCATTTCCTTCCAATTAAAAAGATGGACAGTGCATCTGTCCAATCAGCAACAAGCTTAGTTGATAGCAATTACCGTCTTGTTGTGTTTTCGGATTTGTTGTGTTTTGTGAATTGCACTTTCGGGCCACCGTATTTTGGCCACTTGCAGAACGACGACTCATGAAGACAAAATACAAACGACATCATCACAGTTATTTATTTACACACTGTGCAACTATAGAGAAACATTACCTCTTAACTGGAGTCGTGTATCTGTTCACCTGATGAATATGAATCCGATATTCACTCACTTTTTAGCTCTGGTTTTGGTCTCCACCGTCTCCTGAGAAAAATATCTGACTTCTAACCTGCGAATGCTTGTTGCTGATCGTGTCTGAGGAGGTAGCATTCAGTGCTGTGGAGGAAAAAGATGCTATTGCGACGTTAGTGTGCGTGAAGCCGTGAATCAAAGCAGCAGATTTACTTTTAAAGGATCTTAAAGGATTTAATTTGAAATTGTAGGTTTGTCTGAATGAGCAATACTGTCACATTGTTCCCATAGTGCAATTTAATGCACTGTTATTATATAGATATAAGACTGGGAGCATTGGCAAACCTCAAGACTTTATATTACAACAGTGAGCACTTATACAGGGGGTTATGTTCTGGAGTGTTTCTTTCCCTGGCACGGAGACTTCTTGGATAGTCCGCAACATAATGTTTCATAAAAACTTTGCACTGACGTTTCATAGAGTCAACAAACAACATATAAGAGGTTTTAGTGGGCAGTTTTTAATCTGCAGTCAGCAGCCCAGATAGTAAAATCCTTTTTGGACTGATATACACACACACACACAGAAAATCTTCCTGGCTGTCAACCAACACTGGAAGGTAACAGCTGGAATGAATCCAGATGTGAAAGTGTATGGGCCAGACTCCGACCAAAGATTTAATGTCAACTTTTCACAGGGAGGCAACTGTTATTTCTAATCCCAGTGCTAAACTAAGCTAACCTACCCCACACAAGTGTGATATCAATCTCCTCCTCTAAGTCTCGGCTGGAGAGAGAACAAGCTCCCAAAATGTCAAACTGTTCCTTTAAATTCTGATCTCTTGTCATTCCAGTGGGATGACAGCTCTAATACTCAAGCAATTGTTGACACAATACAAAATTACTAGTAATCTCTATATGCATAGATGGCGGTCGGACAAGATAGGAACTCTGATGGACTTTAGCTACCTATGGCGCAGCAGTCAGTGGGTCCTGCTTTTCAGGACGGCAAAACAAAAAGCTCTGTCATTGAAAGAAAACAGAAAAGAGAATGAAGCAATTACACTTATCTAAGACAAAAAACGGGTCATTATCTCATCACTGGACCTGCCCAGTAACACATTACATCCCACCAGGACGATACATAACTCCATGCCTCCTCCACAGTCCAATCCTAAAATCTTTTGCCGTAAGGAGAGAGCCATCCCTGTAGATTTCCAGGCCCGCAGCTGAGACTCTGCTCTCCGCTGACAGTCCTACCAGATGTATCCTCCGTCGTCAGCCTCGCCTTCCTCCTCTTCCTCCTCCTCCGCCTCCTCGCCGGTCTCCTCCGCCTCCTTCTCCTCTTCATCCTCCCATCCCACCCCGCTCCCAAAATCTCCAGAGTATCCAGCCACTTCATCTGGAAAAAGGTAAATGTATTAGACCTGAAAAAAAGTGTTAATTCTTCGAAAAAGGTTGTTTGTCGTTTTATATATTTTGTCATATAACATCTATGTTTATATGTTGAACATCATTGTAATATTATACATTTAATGTGTATTTAAGGTCTTTGGGTTTTGTTGTACTTTGACAACTTTTAATTGGCATTTTTCAAAATGATTGATGATTGATAGATGAATTGAAGATTTTATAGGATGAACTGAATTATCAAAATAATAATTGAGGGAGAAAAACAAAATGTTTGTTAAACTAAAATCAATCACAAGGTTTTGAACAGATGCAGCGATTGCTTCCATTCTCCACCAACTCTATTACTGAGACTTAAAAACCTTTCAAATTTTAATAAAAGAAGTGAAAAAAATCGGCCAACGAATAAAGAATATTACAACCTGTCAAACTCATGAGAATTTCTAAGAATCTATAATTTGAATGATGAAAGAATAACGCAGGTCAAGACTTCACAGAAAAAAATACTTCTTGCAGCGCACAGTGTGAAAAATGTCAGTTTTTCAAATGCGCCCCTCTTACCACAGTCGGGGTTGCCATGGATTCGGGTGCCCATCATCTCTCCACCATGCTGGTCGACACACCAGCACTCCCCTCGGCTCTGGTCACACTGCACTTTCTTATAGTAGCCGTCCTCGTCACAGCTTGGAATGTACATCCCTGCAAGGACACGGACACGCACACACACACACACACACACACACACACACACACACACACACACACACACAGTGAGTTGTTAAATATTTACACCCTCAGTAAACATAGCTGCCTTATGCTGATGCTCGAGATGAGCGCAGCATAAACGAGAATGGCAGCATGCCTTGGTGAACCTGTAATGAGATCGAACCTCGCCCCGCCCACTGGGGCCCCCACAGGTCCTGATGAGCTCAGGTTGGGTATGGCTCATAGTCCCTTGAAACGCCCCTGGTCTTCAGAGGTGTTGTCACACATCTCTGGCTTTGGAGCCTGTGTGGCGTTGTTGAGCTGGCTGGGTTGATACTGAAGCGTGGTGGGAGCTAAACAGGGGTGTTAGCCTTGCTCTTTCCCAAAGCCAGTGCTGCCCCCCAAACCCCCCCCCCCCCAGCCTGATTAGGGCCTAATCCCAGGCATGAGCTTGTGATCTCTTTTAATGAGCAGCCTTCTTCAGCTCCTTGCCTGCTGCTCCAGGGCGCCTCGTTACATAAGCACACCCAGAGACCCCAAGCGAATTGAGAGGGAGCAGGCCAGCTGGATGGTGCCGCTTGTGGCTAACCACTCGGCGCGGCGTGAAAGGATCTGGAAGTGAGTCAGTGGTGATTTCCTATACAACTGGTCTGTCTGTGCAGGTTGAACAATCCTCAGGCAAACACTTGTTGAACTTTCGGCACAGTGAGGGAGAATGTGTTTACCCAGCTTCTTCTTGGCCGCCTCCTGCACCTGGATCCTCTCCAGCTCGGCGAGGCACGGTGGCTCTGTGAGAATCAGATCAAAAGAAATGTGATGACAGGCAATACTTAAAAATGGGTCCCCCCCTCAAACTTCATCTCAATCAATGCTCCTCATTATTACACGTTTTGCCCGTATTGATTTGTTTAAGAAGTCCTATATTTCATTCCCTCATTGATTGTGGAGAGCTTAGGTGAAAGAACATATGGATGTTGTCTGACGAGGATATGAGCAGAAGCTGAAGAACAAAGTAGAGACATATTGAGTTGCAGTGGAGAATTTCTGTGGTGTTTGCACAAAACTAGATGATTCATAGGGTGTTATCAATTCTCTGAGGCTTTGCTGTCAAGCCACAAAGGGAAAAGCCTTGTTTTAATTATTTCTTTGCATTCAAAATGTGTCCCAATAATAATCACGTGACCATCGTTACTTAATACTGAAAAGTGAAGTAGATATAACCAGCTAGTGATGGAGAATTGATGAGGAGGGTCAGAGTAACCGATTGCACGTAGGTTAAACGCCCGATCAATGGGATAATCAACGTGCAAATGAGGTTACTGCCAGAACATCCTGTATTTTAGAAAAGGTCAAATGGTGCAAATCGAGCACATGTGCACAGATTAAATATCTTAAGATACTTCTGAGAAAACATAAATAATTTACACCGTTACTACACATACACGATGAAAAGGCTTCAGAAGAAGAAGACTTGGTTCAAGAAGTTCAACATTTTGGGAAACATGCTTTCCTGATATTCACTAAAGGGAACTGCTGCTTCCCTGGTGTCGAGGTACAAACGTAGGTTATAAGAGTCAGAACAAATGTAAGTAACTACAGACCCGGCTTTTCATAACCACTTTGTTATGCCACTCAGCGTTGGTGAAGGATTAAACATTAAAGTCACGTCACTTCAAACCCTCTGTCTCCCTGTGATGTAACCTCGCTGTTATTTCAGCCTTTTCGAGAATTTCCCTCAAAATAGATTCCACTCTCACGGCTGGTTCTTCGGCGGAGACCCCTTCACTCACTTTCCCTCCAGAAGCAGAGGCACCACTCCGCCGTGGAGACCTTCCCATCTTTGTAGCTGTCGCAGGAGTTGAAGAAGGGTCGGATGCAGACCTCGTACTTGTCAAGGTTGATGGCGGCCAGCTCGGCCTGGTCAAGATACAGGTCGCTGTTGGTGTCCAGCCTCGAGAACATCCAGCCGATGGAGTCCTTGCAGCTGGCCGCCAGGCTCTTGTCCAGCACTGTCAGGAATAATCGTACTTTCTGTTTACACTACATCTCTTTGCATGGAAAATTGATTTGTATGTTTGGAGACAGCAGAGAATAAAGCCGCTTTGAGAGTTTCTAACCTGAAGCGGTGCCAGCTCCGAGCTTGCCAGAGTTATTCCGCTTGGCGTTTCCATGAAGGAGTTGGAACCAGTCTCTCAGGCGGTCGCCCAGGTCTGCCAGGTCCTGGCCAGTGCAGCTCTCTAACAGAACAAAAGAAAAAAAAGAGGGAATCCCAACGTTCAAAACCCTGGCAGACACTTAACTGCAATCTGTCTCACCTTCCCAAAAGGCAGGCAGGCGCTCAGCAGCGCTCCATATTGCTCTTACTGCTGTAGCGTGAACAGAATAAAAGCCTTCCCTGAGTGTGAAGCTGGTGAGGTTGTATTTTAATGCAGCGATTTATAATTGTATGATCTGCCAATTAAAGAAAACATTATTTTGCAATCAACTTCGTTGAAGCAAATTGCTATTCTCCAATAAAAATCATCCACTTTTAGTTTCAGGCTAAGCACTTATTCCAAGCTACAGATGAAAAGCAGGGTTACATTTCATCCTTTTGATCAATTGGCATTTTCACTTGCCAGAGAGCACAGACAATCAATACTGTTTGGCTGCAATGATAGATGGTGTACACTCTAAATAATTAATTACTACATGATTGAGAGAGCAGTTTAGCCACATTGGGGATATTTGGCTAACAGTAATCTCTAAAACTGGTGAGTATTGATCCCAAACATCGGGTTGAATAGAGTCCCATCCTGCAGGGCAGTGTGCGGCCACCGGTGCATCATCACTTTTCTATTTTTTTGAAACCTTGACTCATGACAGTGATGCAAACAGGGAGGTGTGAATCCCCAAAATTGAGATGCATGAATCCAAGAAGGTGAAGAGAGGGAACTTGCCACGTTTGGTGTCAGTGTTCGTGACGGTAACAGAGGCTGTGGCACATGGGCAGAAACCAGCACACATGACGTTCAGTTCTTTGCCTGTGAGGCAGGCCTGCTGCTCCAGCTTACACTGTCGGCACAGAGAAAGAGAGAGGGGGGGGGGGGCACAGATGCAGTTAAAATATTTATGGGGGTGACCGCAGGAAAGAGAGATTTCTCTTTCGGATGAGACACTACTGCACTTAGAGAGGCAGCAAGAATGAACTGTCATTTTCTGCCGTCTTCTCATGCAAGGTCAAAATTAAAAACTATACATAAATCAATAAAGAGTCCTGGCAGTGGCCAGTGTACAGTGATGCTGCTCAAGACAGTGTCCGTCATCAATCACGCGGCCATGTTGAAATGGTGCACTTGTCCTCCCGCGAGCTGTGATGAACTGCGCTGCCCCGCTGCGCCCACGTATATGTCAGCGTAGCAGGAAACAGCACTTGACTGGACTCCTCTCATTATTTAAAACGATGACACGGCCACTTTCCATTTCTGCTCAAGGTTTTATGGTGCCAGAAGCCAGTAATAAAGCAAAAGAAGAATTATCTGGGCTTTCAAGTCTAAGTGCTTTCAAAGAGAGACGCCGGGGCAGAGTCCTTCCTTTTTACCTCAGAGGCGTAGTTGTGTCCGTCAGAGCCGCACACAGGTGAGGAGGCCGCCACAGGACAGGGCTTGCAGCTGCTTTCACCGGCCTCCTCATGTCCCGACTGTTTGACTCTGAACATGAGAAGGAGGAGAAGGGAAGTTAAAATGTCAGTTCTCCAAAATTACAAAAAGAAAACACTCTTATCTTACCTCTACCCCAGTGATATCTAGCATTACATACAGTACATGGATATCTGGCTCTGGGATTTGTGTTGTACTCCCCCTCAGTTTAAAATTTGTTTGTGCTGCTCACAGTGCAGAAAAAATATAATAAAAAATTTATCGGCAACAAGTCTTCCCCAAATACTGTGATGATAGAATTCTTCTGAAGACATGCTTGTCCAAAACAGTGGATTTATACTCAGAGCTGCAGTACAAGTCACTATCATTAGCTTCTTTTAAGTCTGCAGCGATGAAAAACTTCAATGAATAATGTCATATCAGAAGTTTCACCAAATTCTTATAATTGAGTACATCTTGAGATAGACTCTTATTTCCTGACCAGCATGGTGGATCCACCAACCAACAGTGCCTTCACTCGTTCTGTCCAAAAAACTCTTTGCAGAAACAGTGTTCCTCCAACACACAGTTGTTTGGGTTGACAGCAGTTGTAATGAGAAGTGTTGACAGAGGTGTCCATGGATCATCCACAGTGACAGAAAACAGATGCCTGTCTTATTTTCCATAGCGGCTGAACCAACTGCTCGTTGACGGCATCTTCTGCTGAAAATTCACCTTCTCAGACAATAGCTCCGCTCCCCAAACTATTCATGTCTCAATTCTTAAAAACGACAATAAACATAAGTTGAGCTGCGGTATTGAACATGCTTTTAGTTTTATTTAATAGAGAGGGATCCAGGTCTTGTTACCGTCATGTATTTATAAGATCATGTATCATAATGACAGACTTACAGAGAATTGTGACCTGAATATGTTTCTCTCTTTCAGATTAACAGAGCACATATCAGCACATTGTTTATCCAGCAGACACAGTTAGTGAGTAGTAAGTAACCATCGTGGAGCATGGATAGTGGAACTGTGACAAGAACCATGATGCCGAATGAATGATAATGTAGCAGCTATGCTAACAAGGTTAGAATTTAAGCATAAAAGATGACATGTTTGCTTTGGACAGAAGAATTTTTTTATTGTAACGTTTGGATTCTGAAATCACAAATTATTCATGTTGAAGTAGAAGAAATCTGAGAAGCATAGATAAAAAAAACTAATAAAAGTAGAACTAGATTGAAGTGAGAAAATATGTTTTGTGCTTTGTGAGAATGGGTCCTTTAATATCCACTAGCTTGCTGAGGTCAAACACAGTAACAGTTACAAATCTCCTCTAACTAGATGTTTTTATTGCAACTCGTTTGTATCTCTCTTGTAAACTGCAGCATCGCTACAACTACATCAGATAGTCATAATCTTCCTGTTAATATTTGGACGCGCTGCTTCATAAAACGTCCCTCTGCTTGCTCTCCTCTCACACAGCGATTGACTCCACGTTCGGTGTGCACAAGCATTAGGGCTCAGTACGACTTCTGAGGCGGGCTACTTAACGACGCCGGGGTGGTTTAGTGTGGTTGCGTTCGTGCTTATCACCCATTATTCGACACAGTCCCTCTCATCTCTGGAGTGACTCTGTAAATGAAGCACTTTATTGAAAAAGATAAATGCCTGCCGCTGCAGATAGACTTTGCAGGTAGTAATAATTCACTCCATTAGTTCTTTTCAGGCTGCAACCCTGCTCATTTGTTTTTCAGTCAAAGTGGAATTGATGGCAATGAAGGGACAGATAAATGCTTTTTCACTGAGGTTTACTACAGAAAGGTAAAGTGTCTTTGTCTCTGAAATACTTATATAAACCAAGGTATTAAACTGTGTTAAATAACCAAAGTGTAAAAGAGTTTTCTGTATGATTTAAACCTCGCTCCTCTGCCACCGATTAGTCTGTAAAATGGTTCAGCGACATTTTATTTGCCAAAAGAGAAGTCAAGTACATAGAGTTCAGTGTTCATGCGGCGTACAATGTAAAATCACTGTTGCCAGGTGACGGCTAATAAAATAAAAACAAAACATTTCTACTTGAAAAAGCTTTTGTGTTTTCTCTATTTCACTGTCACGTCAGGGGCAAAAATGGCTTGTTAATTAAAAGTATTAACAAAAACCCTTAAAAAGAAACATCAATCGGAAAGAATTTCCTAAAATATCAACACCCACTCTGTCACAGTACTAAAACTGTCACACAGAATGCTGTATTTTATAATTAATATATTTAATTTTTACTCTGATGCCGATCTACAGGTCTGAAATAAAGCTTAACTCTCCAACTAACTTTAGAAGATGAAATGAAAACAACAGTTACACAACTGGCATCTCAGTACGGCTGCACCGCAGAGTGAATATAAAGATGGAGGAAATCACAGCTTCCCAAAAATGAAGCCAAATAAACTCGATCGCCCCCTGGTGGCTGGTGTATCGATCAGTGCTGTCACTTTATATTTGAACGTTTTATTCGTACGTGGAGGAAAAGGTTTGTATTCGAATTGTAGACACATCCATCTTTCTAAACAGTCTACAATAACATTAATTAAACAATGGTATAGCTGAGGAATGTTTTATACTGTTTGTTTCCAGCGTAATAATCTGGTGCAAATGTTAATTTTCATTCTGGCTCGACTGTGAGTTCACGAACTCTGAATCCATGTAGCTTTAAATAATTAAACTAATCGTGCCTTCTTTCATTAATAATGCTGAGCCAAAGGAGTTCATGCTACATCATGCATTAGTTCATGATGAGTCATGTATTAGTTATGCATTAATTAACCAGAAGGTATTTACACTTGATATCAAGTGTTACCCCATAATACTGGCACGTCTTTACTGTTTCTGACAGGAGCAGCTGTAATCAACATGTAAAATCAACATTTTATTTCTTAATCATTAGTGAATAATTAATGTCAATATTAATGTAATGAAATACCACTGAATTTATAGCATGGGCATATTTAACTATGTGTATGCATTCCTGTGGTGTGAATTCAAATCATATGGAAATTGATATGTTCACTTTTCAAATAGAAATTTCGATAGAAAACTCAAAATGAAATGTCAAATTTGCTCGAATTCAATGGGCTGAATTCAGGTTTCTTAAATTTCCTTGGTCAAATTCAGACACTAAAATTAAGATAAATGACTCAGATCTGACTGAGCCAAATATTTAGGTATCCATTCAGTGATAAAAGTTTAAATTTAGACATTCAGTTGAAATATCTGATTATTTTGTCACTGATTTGTCTCCATAACTGTCAGTTTCATCCATCCACTCATTAGTCACAGCTGGGGGTGGGGGTGCTACAGTGACTGCCCTTCTGACTCATGACATTCTCTGTCTCTGAGTCTAATCAATACATCTTCACTCAGATAGTGACACGCAGCGATCGGCTGTTGACACCAACACGCCGCAGACACGTCCGTCCTTCTCCTCGTGTAGAAACCATCAAAAAAAACACGTCAACACGTCTCGGGAAACCCGGTCTCCACCCACCTGTGCTCGAGCTTCTTGCGATTGACACACATGGCCCTCTGGTAGCCCTGAGCGACGCACATCTTATGGCGGCTGCACTTCACATTCTGGCACGGGTCCTTGGTGATGTCCATGGCTGCGAACATAAAAACAACAACACTGAAAATCCAGAGGTGTCAATCACAGCTGGGGTGTTTCGTTTTCACCACCAGGAGCAAAATACTCCTCCTTCGATTCTTTTTTCCTTCGTCTTCTGCCCCTAAAACAAAAGGAAGCTATTTTATGTGCTGTGTAATCAAGTTTAAATGATCTTTCGTCTTCGCGCGATTGTCTTTTTGTTTCGAAGACGTTTGCAATAAAAATCATGAAATGTGCGAAGAAAAATATTCTGGCAGTGTGCACACATGAGCCTATTGATTTTATAGTCAGCACTGAAAACATGGACGCCTAGCTGTCATTAGCGAGGCAACCCATCGTCAATAGCACCGCCTGCAGTCTCCGACGGCTGTCTCTGATTGCGAGAAAAACCTGACAGCACTGACTGAGCATCTCTTTCTCTCCGCCTGTCACATCTCACTTCCCCCACGTCAACTTATCACTGTCTCTCCCCAGCTTGCCTTTTCTCTCTCTTTCTCCCTCTCTCACTCAGGCTCCATCTTTCTCTCCCATATTCCCTTTCTTTCCTCTTCCCTCCTCTGCTTCCCTCCCTCCTTCCCTCAGCTGCATCTCTTCGGAGAGTTAAATGGTTCAATGCCAGCCTCTTTCTCTTTTTTTCCACTGATAGACTGAGATGGAAATAGCACTGTGTCCTTCACCCTCCCCTCTCTGTGGTCAATGCCACCCGAAACTGGATGCCACATTCGCCCGGCCCCATTTACCATCATCGCCGGAGACCGAGGCCGCGCAGACTCTCCGATAAATTTAAGAGTGAGTGGCAGGCGGCGGTCGGCGAGAGAAATTTAAGCAGTGAAACCCTGAGTCAGCTCCGAGCAGCTGCTTTGTAGTCAACACCGTCAACAGACGAGGTGGCTGCCAGCCAGATCCCTGGGAATCCAGCGACGAGGTGATACTTTGATGCTGCAGGAGGGAGGTGGGAGGGAACAGTGGACTTTTATGGAATCAGTGGATGACAAGGTAACTCTGAGGGATTCCAAAAATACTGGTAGGAGGCTCTGTGCCTGTGGTGCTTTTGTACCATAGAGAAGAAGACTCAGTATGAAACTAAGCTGTCGACTTGAGTTTACAAAGAGCCAAAGTACTGCAGCACTTCCCAGCTGGATTTAGTTCCAGGAGCAACAATGTACGATTTATTATTGAGGTAACGAATTCGTCCTTTAGGAAAGCAGGTATCTCTTTGCCCTGTTTAAACAAGGTTCTGAAAGGTTCTGTGTTTTACCTTGATTTAGGGAAATGCTCACATCACAGCATGATGAATAAAGGTTAACTATGACTACTGTGTGCAATGAAACAAAAGAAATCAGCTTTTTGATATCTTAATACTTTTTTAAATTCGATGTTGATGTTTTTTAACTTCAACCTTTTCCATCAGTTCAACCCTGCAATTATCTCAGAAATACTAAATTACACACACCACGCACAACTTTGATGTCAAAATGGAGAAACATGTGTCTTCTCTCACCTCACGGTGCAACAGGACTTTTTGTTCTTGAATAAATTGCTCAAAACTCTGAAACCACCATTTTCACGAACTGCCACTGCCTGCAGAGAGGAGTTACAAACAATCCAGTAAAAAAGAAGAGCAGAGCAGCTTGTAACGTGGGCACACAGATAACATCTGTGGGATCAAAAAATATATTTGAAGAGGCAACCTGCTGCTGCTGCAAACGCTCATAAAAGAACATTTAGATTTTTGGCTGAGGGGAATGCTACGAGACTAAATCACAGAATAAGGTGCATCACAAATAGCGCAGAGGGTAAGGCACGGTGGACAGGTTTCACAGGGAGAGGGTTCATGTTCTACATGTCTGTGCAGCAGTTTTTCCAGAAGTAAGTGAAAAAGGACATGAATTACAAATCTATTAATTTAAAAGCTTCTCCTCAGAGGGGAAGAGACAAGACGTAGCATTTAGCCTCAGCAGAGAAGCTCAGAGACAGATAACGGGCTCCGGGCAGTGCTGGTCGCTCATAAAGTCCAAACAGTCATTCCATATAAAACATTTTGTGACCACTTGACTTTCATTCACTTCATCTGCTACAATACCTATTCTGCTCGGCCGTAATTTAACCCCAGAAGCCGAACGATATATCCAGACTATGACAGAGGACGACACATTTGTCTCCTACTTCCGTTATTTAAAAATAAAGATAAAACCTTCCACAACTGTTACCGAACATATCATTTTGACTGTTTCTTTACAACGAAGAAAGTCGTCTCATATTTCCTCTATGCCTCAGTGGATCACATCACTTCTAATCACTCAGGTTTTCCTAAGGTGGTGGAGGAGGATGGTGCTTTTGTTGAAACAGGTTCCAGTCACGGACCATAAACTTTTATGGAGGCAGAGAACCAAACTCCGTGTTTTTTTTTCTTTCTTTTTTACTAGTGTAATATACCGTGAACTATTCCCACTTCAGTGTAAGGGATTTTATTATTTCTTGACCAGTGAGCAGCTGCTGTATACCTGCTGGCCACTCACAGAAAAAGGCAGCTACAGGCTGTGCTGTGAGCCGTGCACTGAACCAGCAGGAAGAATCAAATAAAACCAGAAAACAACTCAGACAGCAAACCTCCACCAAAGCTCTTAAACCAACTCCATTCTGTTCGCTTAACAAAACATTTTAAATCTGCATCCCAATCAAGATCTGCATTAAAATACATAGCGATCAGGAATCTTACAGCCAAGGATTATCTGTTGAAGTATTTCTGCTGGGACTTATACAGCTCGAATTGTTAAAAATTGCAATGAATGAACTCAAGATTACTGAATCTTAAATCTAATCCCAATGCCATTGTGCCACCTACAGTTAAAATGCCATCGAATTTTCCCGGATAACTGTGCATTTGTCTAATCAAAATTTACAAAAATGATTATAAATAAATAAATAAACAACATCTTAAAGCTCACCACTAAGCTGTACAACAAGATATGTTGTAAAGTGAACACATTTTGTAGGAGGATGGTTGATTTTTCTTTTTTACATCGATGGAACGTGTACTTTGACTTTTTTAGTCCCACCCACTATCATGGAGGAGGCAGGTATTATGTTTTATACTGCAGCCCGCCACCAGGAGGCTTCACTTTTGGAGGGGGATGCCAGATTAGTTTGACTAACTAACAACGTTGTATATTATGCTGTATGTTCCCATAGAAACACGGCTTGGTGTTTCTATCATGTGCAGCTCTCCCCTGCTGCGATGCTCAGCATATATGAGAACCTTTACCGCCTCCAGGCAACGGCGTAAAAACCAAACACATCCTTATATCCAGTCGTATTCTTGTACAACACCTACATCTTAAAAAATAAAATCAACAAACACAGCATTTAATTTGCACGAATATCAAGTGGGTTTTTTACAGCTCTCCTGGTTGTTGCATCGTGGTGCATTGAGACTCTAGCGAAGGACCAGGATCTGAAAGAGTCGTTATGGGTTTTAAATTCTCCTGTAATCATATCCTTATTATCATTATTATTATCATTATTACTGCCCTACTACTAAGTAGTTGGACAGAACCCCTCTTTAAAACCGGTCATCAACCATTTGTCTTACATTCACACTGTCAGAGCTTGCTTTTAATAGAAGTTTTTAATGGTTCTGCACAAGGAAATCTGCAAAAGACCTGTTAATGAGCTGCCAAGAAGTAGTAGCATGCATCTGAAACTGAAAATACTCTGACGGATAATAAAAGCCTGAGAGATGAGCCCATCTGACAGCTTTGAGTTAATTAGTTTCAACTGGATTTGCTGTTACTGTCATGTTAAAAGACCCGTTAACATCCCTTGACTTAATTGGTGGCTGCTGATTTAAAGCAGTTTATTTCATTCAACTGGAATGAAGATAAAAAATAATTTACTGATAATTAGAGAGGATACAACCCACACGTCCACCTCTAATTGTCATGTTTGAGCTATTTCTGAATTATACAGATGGACACATAATCATAGTCACTTGATTTTTTAAATATAAATATATAATTTGGATCTCTAAGCACAAAAGAAGTCTAATTAATCATCAGAAATAAAGCACATCAAGGTCAAATATAACAGCTCCTCTGTTCAGTCAGAGCTGTGGACACCCTACTGTTTTGAGACGTCCCTCAAACACTCATTTGAAAAAGGCTGAGTTGTCTGAAGCCTGGGTCTGGCCTGTTTGTTCTTTCCGGTGCGTGCAGGTAAACTTTGCCGGAGTCTCTGCTGTCATGTTGAATTTGCAACGAAGAAGACCTTGATCAATTAAGTCTGCGGAATTAGTCCCACTGGGAGCCGGAATGGGAATGAAATCAATGGTATTTAAATGAGCTTTGCCCACGCTGCAGCGAGCGACGTGTTTTCCTGAGATTACATTGGTTATTCCCCCTGTTGTAAGAACAGATGACTGGGATAATGTGCGGAGCCGCTTCCTCTCATATCTTTTCTCCTTTGAGGCATGTCTTCAATGATTTTTAAGTGAGGCAGTGTGGGTGGGGAGCGAACACCGCCGCCTTCTCACACTCACCTCGCACAGGGAACACACTGGCAGCCCTGCGGGTCTGTTAGATTGGCTGCCACAGGTTTGAGCAGCATCTTTATAATGTGTGGAATGATTCACACTTCACTTCTTCACCTCCACAACAGAAGAGTTAGCCTTATAGCCACCGATGAGTTAAACCAGAGCTTATAGCCACTGCTGTATGTAGATTATAGTGGTTGCTCTGCTGAAACAAGCACGAGTTCAGTTCATGGCAACAAACTATACCAGTGGTTTAAACCGAAAAAACTGATTTCTAACTTGTCTTGAGAATTGATTTCAGTTTTTCAATTTCTGATTTTCCCATTTATCAATGAACAGCATGAAAGTGATGCATGTTCTGAACATTAGGACACGTAAAGCTTTTCAAGAAATAAACCAAATCATGAACTTTGAGAATAACACGACTCCTTTAAATTAAGATTTGGTGCGTTTGTAATAACGACAGCTCTTCTGGTTCAGGAATCAGGGATCATGAGGAATATCCACTGTTCAGCTGTGTCTCAGTTCAGTGAGTTGGACTCCACAGTCGGTGCTCTGGTCAAGTGATTGATCAGCCTTGTGCATGAAAACCGCTCGGACTCAGAGCTGAGCAGAATTAATCACAGCTTGTGGCTGCAGAAGCAGTTGTTGCTCAGCAAAAAAGTTAGATAATGTTAAATACTAAAAAGTGCATCAACTGGAAAGAATAGAAGCATTCAGTATGTTCACAGATGCTTTTGTAATAGTCAGATTTCTCTTTCTGTGGACTAGGAGCAGACCCCCATCGAGGTAAATGGAGCCTGGTGGGAGTTCTGAGTTGAGCCCTTAGCAACAAAGGCAATTATAGCAGGCTTTTCAAACTAATGGACCTGACTGAAGACTCGGCCTCTCCTTCCCTGAATCATAACCGTGGTTCACCGTCAAAAAGATTTGACACCTCGGCCCTGTGCTCCCCACGAGCTGCATGACCTCAGACAACAACTTCAGACAACTGCAATTAAAAAAGCCACTCAATTTGTTTATGTATGCACAGTGTTATTCCACTGTCTGGAGCTTAATGCATACAGCTCCTCGCACTGATAATGTCCCTGTTATCTGATATCTGTTGTTTTGTCAGTGGAAAGCACCATTAAAGAAAAGTTATTTAAATATTTAAAGTCTTTGCAAACCAACTTTGCGTAAAGTGCAGTGGCGCAAACAAGAGGAAAACACACCATACTTCAAATGAAACCACACATCCATCATCACGTCGGCTGAAAAATCTTAATCTCATCCCATAAAATATTTTAGTTCCACTTACTTTCATCAGATCCTGTGTTCTCCTCCGTGTTTTCCTGGAAAAGAAAATATATTTTGCATTAATTAATTCAATAATTCATGTCAGGCATCACTGTGGAGAACGTGTGCTCACACTTAATGATTTTCCGTCATTAAGGGAATATTTCAGTTAAGCATAAATAATGAAGGAAAATAACAGATGTGTAAAAATTAACTGAACTTTGCTGCACGTCACAAATGACAGTTTCTGACATACGTGTGTCCTGACGTCATCACCTACACGCACTGCATCTGTTTGTACTTGACACGGATTGGTTTGTAGATGGGCGTGTGTTGGACGTCAGCATCTTTTCTATTTGGCAGGTAATTGTCTTTCTATTTCGATGGAGAAAATGAATGTACCGGGTCATATTGTTGGTTTTATTTTCTTAATAATATTGTATTTATGTATGGTATTACTACCACAATCACCAACTTCAGACACAGTAATCTATACTAGTTCAATTGCACCAAATCGTGTTCCAGTCTTTATGCTTTGCTGCTGGCTCCAGTTATATATTTAGCCTGCAGACATTAGTG